GTACACGACCGGTGCCATACCTATGTCAGCATAACTGTTTAAAGATGCAGATTACAGTGACAGAAGGGGGTGGAGGATAACTAAAGCAATGGATACATTCTTCCATCAACCTAACTGCTTCTACACCAGGAGCTAGGTTAGCAGAGCTACATCACTCAGGAGTGGATTTTTGCAATCTATCAACTCCACAGCTACAACAAACTAAGTCTAGACCAGGCCACACCTATGCTCCATAAATGTAGCTGATCTAGCTAAAGGGAATAGAAGAAGAAAATGAACAGTGACAGCCTAGTAGAGGGCAGAGCAAGCCAAGGACAGACAAAGGACTCAATGTACAACAGTAGGAGTACATATTTATTTTAGGAGACATTGGTTACATTCTGTAGAAAAAAGACAATTTTCTGCACTACTGTAATCTTTTCAAAGGGAAGGGCATGTCTTTGTAGGACTGTTTATTATAAACCACACAAGGGAAAGCATTGAGCGTCTTTCCCTGTCCCGATCTCTTCTGCATGTGTATTCTGCACTTTTTAATTTGATGTTCAGAATTTTTGGAGAGAGAGCTTACCCTGTAACAATGCTACAGGACATAAATTAATTTAAGTTTATGACAGCAGGCAACTCCCAGCCCTTATTTTCAAATACACTGCCAAAACAATTTCACATAGAGGAGACAGCCTGCATCAAAGCCATTATTTATGATGTAACAGATTAATAATAAACAGGTACGTTCACATTCCAAAATTAACGGTTTATGCAAGAAAAAGATACAAGAATTGATTAACATCTTCATACCCACCCATACATAAGAAACTTCTTTACAATATTTCTGGAATATCTGGACTTGCTCAATTCTATTAGGCTATCTGGGGAGGAAAAAAGAAGAAAAAGATATGTTAGTTTTCTTCATCCCTTAAAATAGCATGCTGTTTACTCTCCTACAAAACAAAACTAAAAATCATAGCTCAGTGACCTCTTGCACTTGAGCAGGAATTAATTTATCGGCAAGTGACATCTAACGGAAAAAACCCTCAGATATGAAAAAGTATACCAACAGACTTTTGAGAGTGAAGAAAAATTAAGGAGAGCTACATTATAAAAAATAGTGCCAATTTCCAAAGCAAATGCATAAAAAGAGAAAAATACACCTTTTAATTCTTCAAATATCTCTTGCCTTTGCTTTTCATTTCCATACCGAATGAAACATTGAATAACTCGAGTTGAGTCATGTGCAAATGCCATCTGTAAGATAAATATTTTTATTATCTCAGCCTTTTGCATAATATTATATGAAAGAGTTTATTTTAATACATTTATTCTGTTAAGAGTATTGTTTTATGCAGCACATGGGATGATATGGCAAATAGGTATTATATAAATAAAATACATTATAAAGAAAAAAGTTTTAAGGTAAGTGTAGTTTTAACAGTTTTCATTGCTCCAATATTTCACCACCAAACAGAGAATAAAATCAATATCTGGCAACTGCAGGCAATGGAATTAGTGATATTTGTAAATATGTGCCAAAAATATTGAACTTTTTTATTTTAAATGGAGATTGCCCAGCTCCTAGAACTGGAAGGGACCCCCTCATTGAGTCCAGTCCCCTGCCTACACAGCAGGACCAAGTATCATCTCAGATGAATTTTTGCCCCAAATGGCTGCTACAAGGATTGAACTCACAACCCCGGGTTTAGCAGGCCAATGCTCAAACCACTGAGCTATCCCTCCCCACAATGTTTTATCAGCTGCAACAGCCCCATGAGATATACAGCCTATTTTTTTTTTAAAAACTCCCACAGTGACAGCAATCATGCATTTGTATCATAGCACAAGATAATATGATCAGAATTCTCAATTTAAAACAGCAGGCACTACTGAGTAGACACAATATCAATTCACTTAAAAAAATAAAAAATATATATTTTTAAAAAAGAATCTAAAAGTACACCAAGACACTAAAAATAATAAAGTACACCAAAAAGTCAAAAATAAAGTTTTAAGCTAGCAATTTAGGAGAAAGATTGATTGGCTAATAGTTAGCAACTAGCCTGAATTGTACTTAGCCATCCAATCTTTCTCCTAAATTGCTAGCTTAAAACTTTATTTTTGACTTTTTGGTGCACTTTTTTATTATTTTTAGTCTTTTGGTGCGCTTTTAGAAAGATTGTCTTTTTTAAAAGTTTTTTTTTTAATTTTTGTTTTTTTGGTCTTAAATGTAGTGTATTTCAAGTTATAAAAACTCCAAGGTTCATTTTGATATGCTTCTATATTTTGAGCTAGACTTTTTTACAAAAAAATTTTTTCCACTAGGTATTTACATTTGTAATGAAAAACAGTTGTTGTGTGTAAAGTAAGGATAGAGTAAATTGAGGTGATCAATCAATTGTTTTGTTTTTTTCCAATATGTATTTACATTTGTAATGAAAAACAGTTGTTGTGTGTAAAGTAAGGATAGAGTAAATTGAGGTGATCAATCAATTGTTTTGTTGGTGAAAAGGAGGAAGGCTTTGAAGATGCTGTAATCCTTCTAAAACAAAATACAGGACTATGTAGCACTTTAAAGACTAACAAGATGGTTTATTAGATGATGAGCTTTCGTGGGCCAGACCCACTTCCTCAGATCAAATAGTGGAAGAAAATTGCCACAACCATATATACCATACCTTTGGTATATATGGTTGTGGCAATTTTCTTCCACTATTTGATCTGAGGAAGTGGGTCTGGCCC